CTTCTCCTCCAATGGGTACTCAGTTTTCAGCTTGCTACTCATACTGGAAGTGGCATCAGGAACTGTCAATGACCCAATGGTGATAGATACAGATCCTATAAGGTAAATTTTCTTTCCCCACAGCTGGCTACTGCAGCTGGAACTGCCATCAAGAGCGGAGCTACAAACCTTCTCCAAAAGGCCAAGGACTCCGTCAGCCAGCTAGGACAGAAGCTCCAGCCCCACATCGAGAACCTCGGCGCTCAGCTCGGCACTGTCGTCATGCACGGCGCCAACGCCCTGAACGCCATGAAGCAGGCTGGCGGTGACATCCTTCGTACGTACTTCATGCACACAATATCTCAGATACTACAAATGTGTGCAGCAAAGCGCAGCTATTATATTGGAGTGTGTTCGGAAGCTGGGGGAAGTGTTAATGAGACGAAGTTGGATGTTGAACGGTTTATAGAATGAGTTTGGTTTAATATTTGTTTAACACTTCACGCAGCAAATGTTGTAGTAGTCTTTACCCGAACATGTATTGGCATGTTCACCTTCCAATATCCTTCACAGCAAAGGAGTAAAGATATGAAGACATTTAGTGTAACGTTTGTCGTGTGGATCTCTTTTTATGCATTCAAAACATAAATTATAATTTGAATATTCTTTTCATTATTTGTTAAGATGCGAACAGTAATAGTATTGAAATTGTCTGTTTGACTATAAAACCGTGCCACCCAATAGTTCTTTTTCACAAGACAAACTTCGGCCATCATGAAGATATTTGGATTCAATTAAAATCGCGAAACTATATATTTGAATTTGCTGTTTTTCAGTTCAAAAACGGAATAAGGCTTAACCGTTTTCTGATTGTTCTTGTACAGTTTTTAATTGTGACGCAGGCATTTCGATGAAAGCGTGAAAACTCTTTGGTTTCATTGAACAGAGCAAACCCTCACCAATATGAAGGAGCCTATTAACAACATCGGGCAGACCGTCCTCAGCGCCGGTGAGACCGTCGCCGGTCATGTCGCTGGAGCACTCCTTGGCACCAACACCGACACAGCCACAACCGTTGCACCATGATTATTTGATGTGGGTAATAAAACAATGTACATCTATCATCTGTTATTTGTTTGAATGAGACACTGAGAATGTATTTCATGCATGTATTTAAAACCAAACACAACATGCGTTCTCTCTGAGACTCCACTAGAAGGTTGATCGTGTTCATTGTCGTGTGTTGTCAGATATACTGACGGACGAAAGAAAGTACAAACCTGGTGTTTTCGGATTATAATGCAAACTATTTTGAAAGGGTTTTTATTGTGACGTACAAGTCACCAATAGTGTGAACATGTTGCTCTGGTTATATAAAACATTCTCTTTGTTTTGGGTTCATCCTTGAATTGTCATGGTCCGTCGTGAGTTCTGTATGGTTGGTAGTATCCGTGTTATATCTAAGACTATATAATCACGTTCTTCACTATAGTGTAACGATCATTATCGTATACATGGTTTTATTATAATCTAATTTCAAAACAGGATGAAAAAGGGCAAGGTCGATAACAAGTGCAAAACATACCGAGACACTGTTAGGTATGAGTGAGTGAGTGAGTAAGCCGCTTTTAGCAATATTCCAGCAATATCACGGCGGGGGACACCAGAAATGGGCTTCACACATTGTACCCATGTGGGGACTCGAATCCGGGTCTTCGGCGTGACGAGCGAACGCTTTAACCACTAGGCTACCCCACCGCCCCCGTTTGGTATGGAGGTATAGTAAACCGAACAAGATGACCTTTATTGATGATCTCAAAACGTAATCATCTTGTCTTGTGTTCAACATATTTCCTAAAAATATTTGTCGAGAATGTTTGTCGTGAATTGTCCAGACAGAAATCATTATCATAATCTTTATCTGTTACACGCTGTGCCTGATATACAGTAACTACGTTATAACGAACGCGCTTGTAACGAACAGACGGATAAAACGAACACAGTTGTTTTTCCTCACTTGGTCACCTGCTGCATTTTAGTCGGATTGCATATGTACGGTTATGAGGTGAGGAGACGTGAAATTGGGTTTAACGTCGTGCTTGAGAATATTTCGCTCAAATGACGACGTGCATGCCTGTGTATGTGTATGTGCGGCTGCTTGTACTACCCCAGATTGAAGCTGGTTTTATAGTGCTAGCCCACTGAGACACCATGCCGCAGTGAAGCATGAATACCCCACTCAGACACATTATACTGACTCCGAGCCGACCAGTCCTTGTTGTACCCATTAATGCCGAGCGCCAGGCAGGGATCAACAAGTACCATATTTTAACGTCTTTTGGTATGACGCGGTCGGGGATCGAACCCGCGACCTTCCGCACTCGGGGCGGACGCTGTACCCACTACACCACGGAGGCGGTCTGTACGGTTATGACGAACTGAGATGAATGGTCCCTTTGGGTTTGATGTAACCGTTGTTTCCAACCGCTATTACAAGTACCAAGAGTCAAATGAATAATGTGAATAATCCCTTGGCCAACAGTTCCATATCCATGAGGCTAAGAATACTGTGTATGGAGATTCCGGAAGCCAGGCTTCCTATATTATAAGGGTAACGCTATTTTTCAGGGCATTATTATTTGCAGAAGCCCGAGGTCTTTTCAACTGCTCCTGACAACCCTTCCAATGAAAGCGAGTCGGGCAGTTAATGAAAGACCTCGGGCTTCTGCAAATGATAATGCCCTGAAAAATAGCATTACCGTTATAAATGCTAAAACGGATAGAATTTCTAATAACATAAGACTAAAAACAACGGCATAGATTTTGAAGCATTTGTTGCTAACAACAAACGACGGAGGTCACTGACTCACTTTTTACAAATATGGAAACGTCATAGAACAAAACAGGTGCCGTCACTATTGAGAGTGACGACATTCGGCCTTGACCTTTGCCCATACTACCAGCCGCCATTTGTTTTAGTGCTCAACAACGTTAGAGTTCCAGTCGATGTTTTCATTGCTGTATGTTGTAATTTATGGTACAGTTGTTATGGTTGACACCGGCAAGAAAGTGCATAAAGGCACAGGTACATGTGACGAATGTGAGTCAGAAAGTTCGTCATTAATGAACCCAAGTTCAAACGAGCCGTAGGTGATTGAACATCAACAGCTTAGCTACTTATGACGTCACCAAACAACTGGCTTGATAATGGCCCGTCGTAAAGCATTTTGCGGGCATTATCAAGTTACAGTGACCCGCTCATTTCTGATAACGTGCGGGCGTTTTAATGATAATTCTATCCATTTTAGCTATAATGGTCGTTAGTGGCGATCAAAATAAATCAGGTGGTTACGTTCTATGACTTGTGTGATTTCATTTCTTCGTATCTTGATGACGTGGATCGGTCTTCATAATATTAGTCACTTGATTATCTGCCCCGGCCTGAAATTGTTTACAGACCAGCATGCTATAGGTACTATATTGCTTAGTTGGCAACACAACCCAAATTTGGACAAGAAGGCCTTATCATGACCCGCTGTATATAGACGAAATGGGGGAGTGAGTGAGTGAGTGAGTTTGGTTTTACGCTTCTTTTCGCAATATTCCAGCAATATCACGACGGAGGACACCAGAAATAGGCTTCACACATTGTACCCATGTGGGGAATAGAACCAGGGTCTTCGGCGTGACGAGCCAACGCCTTAACCGTTAGACTACCGCCCCGCCCCCGAAATGGGCGAAGAGAAGTGAACCAAATATAAATATTTCAGTCATCGGCGGTTAGGTTATTATAAGCATGATTCACATATTTGTATCTGGATAAATGCAAATAAAGAAATCCACCTTCCTCGTTACTTTAAGCTGATACACAAAATCAATGCAACGTCATGTTACGTATTCAATGTCACATATACACTTCGGGGCAGTAGGGTGGCCTAGTGTTAAAGGCGTTCGCTCATCATGCCGAAGACCCGGGTTAGATTTCGCACATGGGCACAAAACCAACATATACACTCGATACTGTGAAAGTGAATGGTCAGTTAGACATGGACGATTGACAGTTTGACCTTGTGCAGTAATGATTACTGGTTACTGCTTAACAATGTTCCAGTTAAATGTCTGGACCAAATTTATAATTGACTGATCACTAGCATCGATCTACGCAATGGGATGTGATGACAGACATAACCAAGTCAGCGAATCTGACCAGCCGGTTCAGTTCTGGAACTTTAGTTCTCGTACTGCAAGGACAGTGTCTTGTCGAGCTATCCTACTTCACCCGAGTGTCTATCTCACACCTTAAGACCTTTGGGTGGTATAAATAGAGAATCTCACCCATGTCTACTGATATCAATTATATCAACACAAGTTCATATAGTTAGAAGGGTTTTATTTATCTTTATCAACGATTGTTGATATAATTGATATTAGAAAACACGACTGTGAGATTCTATTTATCATCCAAAAATCACTTTTCATTAGTTTTCAATAAAATTTACATCTCTGAGCACGGCAATGCCATTAGACTTGCAGTGCAGCGATGCCACAGCCTTGTGACGTCATCGAGTTTATGACATCACAGCATTGTGATGTCAAAGCATTGTGATCTCATCTAATTGATGACGTCAGGGCATTGTACAAAATCTGCTGTCAAAACGATATCATCTCGGAGTGGTAAAAACGATATCTTCTCGGAGTGGTATAAACGATATCTCCTCGGAGTGGTATAAACGATATCTTCTCGGAGTGGTTTGATCTCATACAAGCAATATCTCCCGTGAAGCACAGTTTTGGTTGATAAATAAGTATCTATTTTGTATTTACCGTGGTCCCAAGCACATACCAAAAACAGTTAATCAACTGAATATTCTCTATGAATTTACACTCGCAACAATCACTGCGATAACAGATAGTTGCTAAATGTGTTCACATGAACTAGCACTCTACGTTTTTCATGACAGCATATGCAGTGCAATTTGGTTGTCAGCATGTGTCAATAAAACAGTGCAGATAAACTCCAAGTCCATGTGACACTTTTCGAACAGATCCTTTTAAAAATTCACTGATAAAGTCACGTGATTTCGAACTTTAAAAGGCGCACTGACCAATCCCAACCAGTTCGGATTCGCACTCAGCCAACAGGTAGGTCAGCTAAACTGTTTGCGACGATGGTGACCTCCAAAGGGGATCTTTGAACACATGCTTTCAACAATGCCATTTTCCATATTGGTTAACGCCAGAAAGTTTAACGAAATGTGCAGATGAATTATGTATTGTGGTATAGAATCTAAAAAAATAGCATGAAGGTTTGTGTGGAGTGGCTAAATGTTCGGCATTATGGGAAGTGGATTCATTTATTGAGTGCTGAGGAAATGGGAACTGGCAACAATGAATAATCTATAGGAAACGCGTTTGAGTGGACGTACTTGGGTATCTAGTGAGTGAGTGAGTTCAGTTTTACGCTGCACTCAGCAATATTCCAGCTATATGGCGGCGGTCTGCAAATAATCGACTCTGGACCAGACAATCCAGGGATCAACACCATGAGCATCGATCTGCGCAATTTGGAACCGATGACATGTGTCAACCAAGTCAGCGAGCCTGACCACCCGATCCCGTTAGTCGCCTCTTACGACAAGCATGGGTTACTGAAGGTTTATTCTAACCCGGAATTTCATCTAAATAATGAGAGCGGAAAGGCGTTAATGTTAGTATTCTGTACGTTGCTCATTTCAGTGGCTTGGGTCTGGCTAGATACATACCCTCATTTCACACTTACAACTGTGAGTGAGTGAATGGGTGAGTAAGTGAGGTTAACGCCGCCTTTAGCAAACATTTCAGCAATATCACAGCGGGGTACACCAGGAATGAGCTTCACACATTGTACCAATGTGGGGAATCGAACCGAAATGAAGTACTTGTGACGGACGGAGGAAACATGACCTTATATATTGCTTCTATTTTATGGCGGTTGGTAACGAGTCAACATGATACCCCAACGTGTCTCCTACATGATGTTTTTGACTTGGAAACCGCTACATACATTGTAAATTAAGGTCTGATGTCGCAAATATATTACATGTTATGTAATGTGCGCATGGAGGTGCAGCAAGAGGCGTTAATCCGAAATAATTGTCCCTCCTTACTTCACAGTTAATGGGAAAATCGAGTTTTCTGTAAATCTTTAATTTAAACACATTCAGTGTTTTCCTGATCGAAAACGTTAATAAACCGATACACGCTGAAGTCAAAACAATTTTACACGTAATAGTGCACACCTGTACTAGTTCAGTGCATGATTTCGAATTGCTTATATCATCAGTATACATCACGACTGTCGAGTATGTTGCAAATGTGGTGAAATATCTCTCGTACTTTCACGACTCATAGAGGCATGGCTCCATTAACCAACATGTACAGCGAGGTTGGATACAGGTCTATTTACGGACCCTGATCCCTTCCGTTTCCACACACATTGCCCTAACTAGAGGATATTATATGAGTGGCCATGTCATACTATGTTTACGACACGAGTGCCTAAATTTTGATATACCGATATTTAGGTACGAGTGTCGTAACCATAGTATGGTATGGGCACGAATATAATATTCTGTTTATTACCGAAGTTGTCAAATTGAGGAAAATAAACCCAAATCTACTTTCAAACATGGGCTGGCTACCCGCCGTCGCCGCATGTAGAACGCAACGTCACAGAAGAAACGTGACGTCATAGCATTGTTCATGACGTCATGTCACCATGACAAAGTGATATTTTGCCCTAGGGCATCGTATGAAAAATATGAACCCCGATAGGTAATAAAGTGTATATACATACTCGACAGTCGTAATGTGTACTGTTACATAGTCAGGACTGCTTTGACATCGATAAAACAATTTATGTATTATCGTGTTATTTAGAGTGAATTGGCATGATGATACCTGCTTGGACAATAATCGAGATTGTGCTTCAAAAGTCCGAATCATGAAAAATGTACAAATGACCCTTCTGTATATGTTTAATAAATACGTCCATTTTTCATGTAATGTGCGTCAGTGTTGCTTGGTAATACAGAAACACCTGGTGCCATCAGTTATCGGCAGTGATCCATTATGCGTGTTTGGACGGATAAATGGTCATACTCTGTTGTATGGGTTTATTTCTGTGAACCATCATGAATACTGCATAAACTTTTTTTCAGCACCATGAAGTTCCTGTTCATTCTGTCCGCTGTTTTTCTAACCACGGCCCAGGCCAACTTCTTCACCGATCTCGGTCAAGGTCTCACCAACTTCTTCAAGACCCTTGGGCAGAGCATCTTGCGCCAACTGGACACTACTGGAGTTCAACTTCTGAACGCTAGTGTCGCAGCAGGGAAGACCCTTATATCTCAAGGAATTCAAGGTTTGTAATGCTGAGCGTATATGTTTTTTAGCAATATTCCGTGATCACAGCGGGGAGGCACTTGAATTGGATACAAACATTATATCTCTTCGTGGAATCGACCCGTACCTTTGCCTTGATGAGCGGATGATTTTAATCACTATCGATCTGCCCTAAGTATGTTGCAGAGTTAGAGAGTGAACATGTTGTGACATCACTATGGACGAAAGCCCAAACGCCACTGATGCATGTTTGCGACATCTCCAACGTTGGTTAAACCCATGGCGCTAGGCTGACTCACTGAGTTTGGTTTTACGCTGCTTTTAGCAATATTCCAGCAACATCACGGCAGGGGACACCAGAAATGGGCTTCACACATTGTACCCATGTGGGGATTTGTCCATGGCGCTAGGAAACCTAGGAACGTAATTAAAGCGAATGTTTGATAGGATGCCATTACAATGCACCAGTGTATCGTGGGCCAGAGACGATTGGACTATACGTGCCCCATACGAAAAAGAAAACTTTAATGTAGCCCCCTTGACACGACATTCCTGTCGTTTTGTATATAACAAGCAATGCTAAAGAGCATGGATGTTACTAAACCCAGAATTAAAACCTTTTATGACCAATTCCCGGAGTGACTTTTATTTACACAGTATCTGTGACCCGTGAAGATCCGCCGGGTTAGAATTGGTCTTCAGCAACCCATGCTCGTCGTAAGAGGCGGCTAACGGGATCGGGTGGTCAGGCTCGCTTATGTGGTTGACACTTCTCACCGAGTCCCAGTTGCGTACATCGATTCTCGTGTATCTGTAATGAAACTACCATTATCCCTGTAGCCTATGGTCAGCACGACTAGGTTGAATTTGGGACACCTTTGAGCTGATTTTTAGCTGGCTCTTTTTTGGATTCGAACCAATTCTAGAAAGATCCCATTCTCGTGGATTCTAGGAGAAATGAAACGCAGCTTAAAGGGATAGTAAATTGCATCTTTAGGCTTTAACACATATTTCAACAACATCCTTCTTGCTTGTTTTTATATAATGTTTAGCGCCTTCCTCATCAATATTACAACTATATGAAGGCGGTCTGTAAATGCTAGGGTCTGGCCTAGACAACCATGTGAGTAACATCATGAGAATCGATCAATGCAAATGTGATGTGATGACGGGTACATAAAACATGCATCACTGTGTACCAGCCGATTCTTGGGGAAAAATCTGAAGTAATGGTTTAAAGGAAAATTTTTACCCCTCGAACCAATGACCAGTTCAATTTAACGTGTTTAGTGCCACTGGAGCAATCAGCAATTATTAGTTGTACAATTGGCCATTTCAATATTGTCTTGGCACTTGCCTGAAATTCTAAGTTGTCATTTCTGGGTGTGAATATATTGCTGATAAGGTTCTAGAGAGAATTTAGAAGTTGAAAGAACACGAATACATAAAGCGGTCAATTGACACCAGACGTAGCCCTTAAACATCTTCACAAAACGTCAACGAAGACAAAATAGAACGAATACAAAATGCAACACATTTAAACCATCGGTTAGTTTCCAGACTCACATTTAAACCATCGGTTAGTTTCCAGACTCACATTTAAACCATCGGTTAGTTCCCAGACTCACATTTAAACCATCGGTTAGTTTCCAGACTCACATTTGGAAATGCATATTAATCGAAAGGTTCCTGACCATATTGCGAAGGCCAAGTGAGTGAGTGAGTGTTTATGCAGCACTCAGCAATATTTCAGCTTTATGGCAGAGGTCTGTAAATAATCGAGTCTGGACCAGACAATCTAGTGATCAACAGCATGATCATTGATGTACGCAATTTGGATACGATGACATGTGTCAACCAAGTCAACGAGCCTGACCACCCGATCCCGTTAGTCGCCTCTTACGACATGCATGGGTTACTGAAGATCAACTCTAACCCGCATCTTCACGGGTGTGTGAAGGCCATGATGCATTATACCAGACCATGCTAATACTTTTATGATAATCTTACATACTGGTTGATCATGTTTCAGCCCTGGCTCTGAATACTGCAAATGCTCTTGCAAAAACAGGTCGAGATATACAGTAAGTAATGTCACACATTACATGCGTACTCATATACACACAGTATTCATATACACATAGTACTCATATATAAATAATACTCATATATACATAGTACTAATATATAAATAATACTCATATACACATAGTACTCATATATACATAGTACTCATATATAGTACTCATATATACATAGTACTCATATATACACATAGTACTCATATATAGTACTCATATATACATAGTACATATATATACTCATATATACATATATACTACTCTTCATATATACATAGTACTCATATATACATAGTACTCATATACACATAGTACTCATATATACATAGTACTCATATACACATAGTACTCATATATACATAGTACTCATATATACATAGTACTCATATATATACACATAGTACTCATATATACATAGTACTCATATATACATAGTACTCACATATATATACATAGTACTCATATATACATAGTACTCATATATACATAGTACTCATATATACATAGTACTCATATATACATAGTACTCATATATACATAGTACTCATATACACATAGTACTCATATACACATAGTACTCATATATACATAGTACTCATATATACACTCATATACATATACATATATACATATATACATATATACACATACTATATACATAGTACTCATATACACATAGTACTATATACACATAGTACTCATATACATATAGTACTCATATATACATAGTACTCATATACACATAGTACTCATATATACATAGTACTCATATACATAGTACTCATATACACATAGTACTCATATACATAGTACTCATATATACATAGTACTCATATACATATAGTACTCATATACACATAGTACTCATATACACATAGTACTCATATATACATAGTACTCATATATACATAGTACTCATATACACATAGTACTCATATATACATAGTACTCCATATATATATATACATAGTACTCATATACACATAGTACTCATATATATATACATAGTACTCATATACATATACATAGTACTCATATACACATAGTACTCATATATACATAGTACTCATATACACATAGTACTCATATATACATAGTACTCATATATACATAGTACTCATATATACATAGTACTCATATACACATAGTACTCATATACACATAGTACTCATATATACGTAGTACTCATATACACATAGTACTCATATATACGTAGTACTCATATACACGTAGTACTCATATATACGTAGTACTCATATACACATAGTACCCATATACACATAGTACTCATATACATCTGTGTTAGTATACGGTATTTGTATAACTGCTTGGTGCAGTGCATCGAGATATTAAATTACAGAAATAACGTATTTGAAAATATATGTCTACCCCACAAAATATATATGGAACAAGAAAGGAACAATCTTTAATTTCAGGAGTTGCACTGATTAAGACTCGCCAATCCAGCCTGAAACAGTGTTGGGCACGCTGTTTCATATTTCTCCAGGAAATTCGATACGTTGCAGAGGAAGTGTTTTTGAAGAGCCACCTGAATTTCTGCAGTAAATGTTCATCTACAAACACTGTTTTTAAGGGTTACCTCAATTCCCTTTGTTTGCTACAGGCTCCCTCCCATGCTCCAGAACGTGGAGTCCTCCCTCCACAACGTTGTGGACACTCTGATGGGTGAGATGAAGAACGTGTTCGGCTTCCTTGGTCAAGGGTCTGCAGGGCGTCATGGACAAGCTCGCACAGCTGGATGTCACTCCCCAGGAGGTCATCACGGAAGTCGACAAGCTTGTCAGTAAGTTGATTACTGTGTCATCAAACAGAGCAAATTTGAATCTGTATGACACAGCTTCAACTGTTGTTTGTCAAAGTTGAATTTGTTTCCTTTCTTTGGAAATATACATTGACAGATAATTAGGTAATTAGCGGATAGGTAATTAGCAAGGTGACTATCAACGCCGTAATGTTTGGATTAGCTATTTAATTATTGTTATTACAACAATATTTTACAACCCATGGTAGCAAACGTGTAAGGAAACGTAGAAGCAAATTGAACACGTTCATCTAAAGCAGTCTTCACAATAAACCGTCCACATATGTACTTTTTAAAAAAGAAAGAGTTATGGGTGTTGGGTATTGGGTATGTTGCATTTGATGAACTTCCATATACAGCAAATAAAAGGAAACAACTATTAAAGTCCATTGTTCGATTCCAGGTATTCCAGGATAGGATCACGTAGTAGTCATCACAAACACATGCAGAGACAAGTCAAGAGTTCCCCTAAACAAACATGGGAACATACTGAACATGTCAAAATAAGGAATTGCATCAGACATTATTTTGTTCACTAATTCACCAAATATTGAATTGTCCCCCACGTGTTTTCTGTGACATATCTGGGCATTTGATAGGTATTGGGTAATAAGTATTGGGTAATAAGTATTGGGTAATAAGTATTGGGTAATAAGTATTGGGTAATAAGTATTGGGTAATAAGTATTGGGTGTAGTATCCTTGGCGGAAATACATTATCAAAACAAAAAATTATTGCGTTTCCAGACACCCACAACCTTGTTGCTGATTCCTTCCTGAAGACCATCAAGGACAAGGCTGAGGAGGTCATCTCCAGCCTCATCAAGAGCAAGAGGAACGCCTTCACAGACTTCTTCGCGGGCATTGGGGAGAGTCTGACCAAAACCTTCAAGCCAATGGTGGATGGTCTCAAGTTGGTACGTGTCTCCTCAATATTTTTTAACATTTGAAAACCACCATGGGATGCGAGCATGAAATAAGATGGAGGGTGCAACGGAAGGGGTAAATCCATGATGAAAATGATGATTGATGGAGTTGTGTATTCTCGATCAATCACGATTTTGAACACGAAAGGGGTCAGTTAGGGATCAAATAAAAGTATAGAGTGCATGTATCTGAAGAAGAAACTGTGAGCACCAAGTCATCAAAGACTCGAATTGAGGACACATTGACTAAGACATGAGTGAGTGATTGGGCGAGTGAGTGAGTGAGCTTAGTTTTACGCTGCACTCAGCAATATTCCAGCTATATGGCTGCGGTATGTAAATCTGGACCAGACAATCCAGTGATCAACAGCACGAGCGTCGTTCTACGCAATTGGGATACGAAGGCATGTGTCAACCAAGTCAGTGAGTCTGACCTCCCGATCCCGTTAGCCGCCTCTTACGACAAGCATGGGTTGCTGAGTGAGTGAGTGAGTTATTATTTAACGTCACATCGGCAATATTGCAGCCATATCGTGACGAGAACATATTTGACATTGAAATGGAATATATGTATATGATAAAAACCTGTCGACGAAGGACAGTAAAACAACTAGAATATCACAATTACAACTAAAACTAGTGTGGAAAGTTAAAACTAATAGCACTATTTGGACAATACAATATAAAAACTGGCTATCGATCGCCAACAACTAAAGGTAGATCACCAAATTAGGGACCATGGGGACTTACATTAGTTTTGCTGCCTGCATGGACCCTAGCTGGATTTATATCATCCCTTCAGCCACTGGCGATTGAAACCAAATTTAGCCAAAATTAAGATGACAAGAATACTACATTTAAAACAGCTGGTAAATATAAATTTCCTTTGAATGTTTCGGGACTTACGTACCCTCTCAGGAGGACAATAATTTTACGCTACTTCAACCCCCTTTGAGGGTACAGCCACTAACAATCTCAGTTACTAATCTAAACTACCAATAATAAAATATGTATCTATTTACAAATCAGTTAACAAGTCTAATTCTTTTAAAAATGCAATAATTAAATGAGAACTTATATTAGTGAAAAGATCCTTCATGGTTCGTGATTTGAAATAGTTATCCCTTGTGATGAACATGGGTTGCTGAAGACCAATTCTAACCCCGATCTTCTTGGGTCTATATTGAACGATGCCTTAACCCAGATGACTCAGGTATGTATGTATAGAACGTATGTGACATCATATAAAACAACGTTGTTGACATCGGCTTGTAAAATAATTATGCGATTATCATCCAGTTTCAGTGGTGTACACTTTATCTAGGAATTACTGATTTTTTCAAACGGTTTTGTTCAAATTATATACCTAATTATGAATAAATATTTGATAACCAACAAACGGTCTATCGTGCATTTGTTCTTTTCCCCACAGCTTGCTACTACAGCGGGAAGTGCCATCAAGAGCGGGGCTACCAACCTCCTCCAAAAGGCCAAGGACTCCGTCGCCCAACTGGGACAGAAGCTCCAACCCAAAATCGAAAACGTCGGCACCCAGCTGGGCACCCTCGTCATGCAGGGCTCTAACGCCGTGAACGCCTTGAAGCAAGCTGGCAGCGACATCCTTCGTACGTACTTCATCCAAACAGTATTCTACACAGAGTGTAGCCAATGTTTTGTAAATACATGTATGTGTCTAGCAGTTGTACAAGACGTGGTGTGGAAGTGATGTGGTGGAAATGTAGATATTGCAACGTTTTTGTGTTGCCCAACACAGCCCCGTGTGTGAGGGTTGTGTCGACTTTCAAGCCCTTGTGTGCCTGGAATGTACTGACATTACTGCCTTGTGTGTGAGGGTTGTGTAAACCTTCAAGCCCTTGTGTGCCTGGAATGTACTGACATTACTGCCCTGTGTGTGAGGGTTGTGTCGACTTTCAAGCCCTTGTGTGCCTGGAATGTACTGACATTACTGCCCTGTATGTGAGGGTTGTGTCAACCTTCAAGCCACTGTGTGCCTGGAATGTACTGACATTACAGCTTTGTGTGTGAGGGTTGTGTCAACCTTCAAGCCACTGTGTGCCTGGAATGTACTGACATTACAGCCCCGTGTGTGAGGGTTGTGTCGACTTTCAAGCCCTTGTGTGCCTGGAATGTACTGACATTACAGCCCCGTGTGTGAGGGTTGTGTCGACTTTCAAGCCCTTGTGTGCCTGGAATGTACTGACCTTCAAGCCCTTGTGTCCCTGGAATGTACTGACATTAGAGCCCCGTGTGTGAGGGTTGTGTCGACCTTTAAGCCCTTGTGTCCCTGTAATGTACTGACATTACTGCCTTGTGTGTGAGGGTTGTGTCCACCTTCAAGCCCTTGTGTCCCTGGAATGTACTGACCTTCAAGCCCTTGTGTGCCTGGAATGTATTGACATTACTGCCTTGTGTGTGAGGGTTGTGTCGACCTTTAAGCCCTTGTGTGCCTGGAATGTATTGACATTACTGCCTTGTGTGTGAGGGTTGTGTCGACCTTCAAGCCCTTGTGTGCCTGGAATGTACAGACATTACAGCCCTGTATGTGAGGGTTGTGTCGACCTTCAAGCCCTTGTGTTTCTGGAATGTACTGACATTACAGCCCTGTGTGTGAGGGTTGTGTCGACCTTCAAGCCCTTGTGTGTCTGGAATGTACTGACCTTCAAGCCCTCCTGTGCCTGGAATGTATTGACATTACAGCCCTGTGTGTGAGGGCTGTGCCGTCCTTCAAGCCCTTGTGTGCCTGGAATGTACTGACATTACTGCCTTGTGTGTGAGGGTTGTGTCAACCTTCAAGCCTTGTGTGGCGGATGTGTGTAAAACCCTGCGGAGGAGGATCGATAAACCCTTGTTCTTGTTGCAGAGCAAACCCTCACCAACATGAAGGAGCCCGCTAACAAGATTGCCCAGACCGTCGTAGATGCTGGAAAAACCGTAGTCGGACACGTCGGTGGGGCTCTCCTTGGCACCAACACCGATCCGGACGCCACAACCGTAGCCCCTTCCACATAGTCTGTTATCAGTTTTTGTGGAATAAATACTTAACAAAGGACTGTTGTCTCGGTTGAGTGAGTGAGTGAGTGAGTGAGTGAGAGAATCATTCAGATAAAATATATCAAACACCTGACTCCAATATTTGCTGGGTATTTTTCTGGTTAAGTCTAGATGTCTTTTAATGGATTTGTTGAGAGACTGTTCGTTTCGAACTGGTGTCCGTGGTAATAATTAATAATGATAAATCATTGAAGGATTGTCCACCTCATTGGAGAGTGTCCTATTGAGAGACCCGTAGCCTAGTGGTTAAAGCGTTGGCTCGTCACGCCGAAGACCCGGGTTCAAATCCCCACATAGGTAAAATGTGTGAAGACTATTTCTGGTGTCCCCCGCCGTGATGTTGCTGGAATATTGCTAAAAGCGGCGTAAAACTAAACTCACTGGAAAATGTGCCGAAGCGAAATGACCATGTCAGATCAGTTGAGAGACCCATTATCTTGGTATCAATCAATGCTCTGTTTAATTTAAATACAATCTCACCCAGCTTCTCTCCACAATATCCGGGAATGTTCACATGACAAGATAGACCAAAACAGTATGAATAGAGAAAACATGTTTCAAATAATGAATAAATACCCGAATGACTGAATGTTAAAAGGGAATTCTAACATTTGTTACACATCTCGTCACAGTTTGTTTTTTTAAAAGACGGTGAGGATGATCATATACGTCAGTTCGTTATAACAGAGTTCGTTATAAACATAGTACATTGCATTTCTTTGAGGAAAATAGAATTGTCCAAGAATTTATGAAAAAATGCCATTTTACATTATGGTTGCCCAGAAAAAATAGTTCGATCCTGCTATCAGAGAAAAATTGCGTTCTTGAAGCAGTGACAGACGGAAATCACATCTTGTCAAAAACAGAAAACCTTCACTATCGATTAGTGACATGAACACAATGCCAGTGATCGATACAGATTGTTCACATTATGTTCGAGAACAGACATTTACCAGCCATTGCCAAACGTCCTCTCACTGTCGGCTGTGTACCAAAAACGAACGAGTTCCGCTTTGGTGCAAGAATTTTCTTAAATCGAAACTTGTTTGTTTTAATCATTTGTTTATTTAAAAAATTGTAATGCAGGTTATATTTGGTTTTGCTATTTCAAAGTTACTTACATGTTCCTCTTTTCTCTTTGCTTCGATTATTTCCGTGTTATTTATTTTCGAATGTTGACGTTTTTGTCCCGTCGATTCTTTTTCCAGTAGTTGCGTTCGAGTTATCTGAATTTTCTTTCGAAAAGTACGACATTTCGAATAACTTCGTTTATTTGCTCGAATGTCCGACTTTTGAAAATACACTTGAAAGTATACTGAACCACAAAAGAAACGTCGCTTTTCAAAACCAAATGCAAGATTTTGCTCTTGCAAAATGGTGTTTTTATTATGATATCGTTTTGTTAACATGTTTTTCAATCCATATTGACAGTAAGTACCAACATCAGTGTGTTTTCTGATGTAAAAGCATATCGACCAAACGCACCTAAAAAGGCAGACTTGGTAAAAGGTCCGTATGACATTCGTCAAAATGAAACTGCGCGTGCATATCGTGACAAACCTACCAATGAAAGCTAGTCCCCAACTCGCCTGAAATCATTTTTGTTTTGACACAATCGTCATGGCACGAATTACGAGAGATCAGAGGAACCAAGTCTTGGGACGATTGCAAGTTGGCCAGACTGGCAATCATTTCAATGTTCATGTTAGGACTCCGACTGCAGGAGTGGTATCAGGTCACTAACAGCATCCAAGACCATCCACGCAGTGGGCGACCTTCAGTAACATCACAATGTCAAGACCGACAGATTGGGCGCCACCATCTGCAGGATCGCTTCCCTAGAGCGACGGAAAGAGCACACCAGACTATTGGGACTCACAACTGACCCATCAGTGCCGCTACAGTGCGTCTGCGTTCGCGCTGAAGAAACCTCTGTTGTCACAGACCATATCGTAGTCCTGTCCTCACCGATCATCACCCCCAAAACCGATTGCAGTGGGCAACTCAGCATCGGAATTGGCGTTATCGACAATGGATAACTGTTCTTTTTTCTCATGACAGCCCATATTGTGTTTCGACAGTCAATGGCAGAGTAAGAGTATGGTGAAGGCGTGGGGAACTGTTTTCTAGTGAGTGTTTTGTTGAATAAGACTCGTGGGGTGGTCCAAGCATCAAGGTGTGGGGTGCAATCGGTCTGAACCAGATAGCTGGCACTGTGGTGTTCCAGAGTCTCGGTCCGGGATGAGGAAATGACGTGACAGTTGCTCGCTATATTGATTAAGTCATGAAACCTCGTTGTACCACAAGTTGGACGTTACAGAAATAACATCTTCAAGCAAGACAACGTTCGTGCCCACACGGCCAGAGTAACATTGGACTTCCTAAAACAACATGGCATTCAAACTCTACTATAGCCTGCACTCAGTCTTGATTTGAGTCCAATAGAACACCTTTGAGACGAAATTTAAAGAAGACCGAATGACCGCTACCCAAGGCCGACAATTGCTGCTGGACTCAATCAGGCATTTTACAGAGTATGGATCCTAAGTGCCTATGGCCTTCATTAACCGGCTAATCCATTCCGTGTACAGACGATGCAACGCTTTCAGCGATGCCCATTTAGGCCACACACAATACTGACTTTGGGGTATCTTAATGATACCATTTTTTGTGATTTTATGTGTGTGAACTCTAAATGTGATTCCCGAAAATGTGTTAACCATAACTGTCAAGTTTGAACTCAATCCTCCGTTTTGATTGTTCATTAGAGTGAATTAAAGTGTGTGTTTTAAGAAACCGCTATCAGTGCGACATTTCTTTTGTGGTTCAGTATATTAGAAAATAATCGAACTAGCGAGAGAAAAAAAGTGAATTTTTGAGCAAATAATTGGGTGATAAACTTTGATGTCCGAAAATAATTTATGCCACCATAGTGGCACCATTAAGCCTTTGTAGTGGTATGGTTGTCCGTTCCATACAGACTAATACCAGGATTAAGTGCAGGAATAGATTCACCTTTGTCCTTCCAGCGATTATATCACGTTGGTCACGGCAAGGGCATGTATTCACACCAGCTTTATCTCCGTCTCAGAGAATCAGATTTACAGCCTCGCCATAACATCAATACAAGCGTGAAACAAGGTTCAGTAATAAAACAAATTACTGCCCTTTATCCAGGCGAAAATGGCTGCTGAGAGCGTTACATGGAAGAATGATGAATATACTTTATGTCACTTAAAAGCGCAAAGGAAAAAGGTTTCAAACAGCACCGAAGCAGCTTTCAAACAGGCAGGTGTTTGTGGTTAGCTCCAAAGTTTTCAAAACAGACAGGGATACAGGCGTAGAAAGCGGGCACTGCCCGAAGATACAGGAACAATTGTAAGGGACAAATAAGTAGCTAAATGTTGGATCATTAAGTTGTTGCAACAATTATCAAAATGTCAGGTGTATCAAGAAGGTCTGCACTTTTAGCCGGTGTTGAACGTTAGGTACTACTTAAAACAACCGTTTGTCTAACTGTGTTGTGTAACCCCGAACGTTATGCTTGTTCTGATGGAGTGTCTGTGGCATGTTTAGTACTCATAATTGATGATTGGTACATTACAACCGATCAATCATCGAAAATAATTGGTTAGCGTCATTTATCAATTTTTCCTGGTTATGTTTGTTAATGCACAAAAAATAAAGAAAAAACATGTAGTTCTCTCGTTTTTTTTCGCAAATTGCACAAAATGCATTTGCAAATTTCACATCTTTAAAGGATGACTAGTGTGTTAGGAACATACATTTCCTGGAGTTGTTAAGATAAACTTAATCATGACTTGGAACGAGCTTGTAGTGCTTATGCAATGTCGAGACAAAATCAACCTTTTGAAAAATATTGTTATTGCAAACAAGTGGTCCAAAATTGTTTGTGCTCGATTATGAGAAAACATGATCGATTGCTTGGTCGTTTTGTCATTGCGACCAATCTTCGATTATTTCAATTAACCGGACCACCACCAATGTACACTAACGCTTAGTGTCTAAAATATACAATTCTGAGAGAAACAAACACTCGAAGTAATATGAAAAGGAGCCCCATTTAGGCGGGAGCTTCAGAGCCGGCGAAAATCTAGACTTTCTTCATTAAGGGCTTCACAAAAAGGGCTGAGTGGTGGGGAATAAATATGCATAAGGGACTGTGAGACAGGCTATTGACCGTGCAGTGGTTCCCGTAGGAGGGCTGGGGAGGGTGGGGTGTGTGTCTTATCAATAACTTGAATTCGAACAGTGGCTTATCACAGCTGGTTTGTTCTCAAAACATTGCATAAGTCAGGTGTATATCATAACCCTGCTCTTGCCGACCTCTTTCTTTGTTATTCTGAGTATTTCCCGCAGTGTCTGCCGAACTCCAGGAGTCCTGAACTCAATAACAGGTAGGTTCTATTCCCAAAGTGGCTTTAGTGACTCGGTTTTATTCCCAAACTGGCTTTGATGGTTCGTCCCACTTTACAGCCGAGAATTAAATCGTTTTTTCAACAGACCATTCTAATAATGAATTCTATTTAAATTGAAATGTTTCATATGTACAGATATGGTGCCGGGCAGAAGTAATTTTAGATATTTCATGGAATTAGTTTTATTGAAAAAACTTGATGCAGATGATTGCCCTTTGAACCTAAAGTTTGCAACGCTTCAGGAACTATTTCAATCCAAGTAGCATTTTGACAGTTTGTAATTTATCGATCAACTTCGAATTTAATGTGTCCATTTTCTTTTCTCCGGCAGGTTAGTTGGTTTAGTGCACCCTCGAGTGTTGATTTCATTGACATTTCGGTAATTTTACTTGTGGTTTAAGATAAATGTGTGGTTTTCGAAAAAGGGATAGTAATATGTTTGCCTGTTAACTACAATGTGGAATTCTGAGTTCACTATTTATCCTTGGTGTGTGTGTGAAATGCAACTGCTACAAACCTTTGAGGTTACCTAACAGTCTTAGAATGAAGTTTCTCGTCCTCTTCACCCTGGTTCTCCTGGCTTCTGGGGGAGACGCCGGTAACGTCAAAGACTTTTTCATAACGTTGGACAAAAACTAGGAGACTTCTTCAAAAATGCTGGAAACACCATTCTGCACGAGCTGGACAAACATGGCGGGGAGCTGCTCAATGCTGGGGTACAGGCTGGGAAGATGTTACTCTCTCAGGGGATTCAAGGTACGTTGTACGTTTTCAGGGCAGCCAAAGCGTATCAGGGTATTCAAGGTACGTTGTACCTTTTCAGGGCAGCCAAAGCGTATCAGGGCATTCATGATACGTTGTGCGTTTTCAGGGCAGCGAAAGCGTATCAGGGTATTCAAGGTACGTTGTACCTTTTCAGGGCAGCCAAAGCGTATCAGGGTATTCATGATACGTTGTGCGTTTTCAGAGCAGCCAAAGCGTATCAGGGTATTCAAGGTACGTTGTGCGTTTTAGGGCAGTGAAAGCGTATCAGGGTATTCAAAGTACATTGTGCGTTTTCAGGGCAGCGAAAGCGTATCAGGGTATTCAAGGTACGTTGTGCGTTTTAGGGCAGTGAAAGCGTATCAGGGTATTCAAGGTACGTTGTGCGTTTTCAGGGCAGCCAAAGAGTGCCAGGTATGCACTGAAGGTAATTCTATTTCCGAGACTCCGAGGCTCGTAGTGGGCATATACGTACTTCCAGGCATTCAGGGCAATCAAGGTTCATTGTATTTTTGTATTCCCGTACCTCAAGGTATTGCAATTGTTATTATTTGCATGAAAACTATGAGCCCGAACATATTTTGTTCTGAAAAGCATCAATATACATTTACTCGCAGACAAATTGCTCTATTTCCAACATTCTGAAGCATAATAAAAAATTCCAAACAGATCGGTCAGTTTATGATTTCACTATCTCAGCAATAAAATAACACATATGATGTCTTTCTAGCATGCTGTGTTTTGCAGCTCTGGCGATGAACACAGCAAATGCCTTTACGAAACCAGCTAAACGATCGGATATGATCAGGTAAGAATATCGAACAATACCACATAACATCAGTCAGACATAAAGATCTATAACAGGTTTAAGGACCACGAAACAAAGCTTCGGACAACTTTAGATATTTTGTCTTGTGAAGAAAAGTATACCAACTTTGAATAAGAAATATGATGATCCAAGAATATAAATATAACAAGAGCTGATAATTGATTCTGGAAAGTTGCTCCAATAGTATTGCGCTTCGGCTTCCACATGCTTGCTCCGTCATGATCCTTGTTAGAACTGGGATTTAGCAATCCATACTTGTCGTCAGAGGCAACTAACGGGATCGGGTGGTCAAGTTCGCTACGGTTCTACGATGAGTAGACCGATGCTCATGACGTCAACCACTGGCCTGTGTGACGCAGATCCCGTTATAAACACGCTGCCAAAACAGGTTCTATAGAAATGACCCAATGACACACTCGACGGAATAGTTCTTCGGCATTAATTGTTTGTCGCCACAACCCACTAGAAAAGATGCAATGTATGATTTATGCGAGTGAGTGAGTTAACATTTTACATCGCATCGGCAATATAACAGCCATATAGCGAGGAAAACAAGGTAATCATTTTAAAAGTATGACTTATGTGATATCGCACTCAACGACGTTGCATTTACTGGAGCACCCTTTACTGGACGCTGTGATACGGCTCCATGTCGGCGTAAAACAACATTCACCTACTTATTCACTGAAATGCAGATGTATAATACGGCATTTTTTTCACATGGACCTGCACATACGACATGCGTTGCACGTGTACGGACACTCGTAAATCAAATAGTTTTTTCATGTGTGCAAAAAAAACCACAAAAAAACCCACCGAAATCTTCGTTGCACGATTCCGGTTACATCGTAGGCATGTGTTTATGAATTTATATGGAATATTATTGAGGTTCGTAAAAGGGAGCGCGTATCCCGTAGCAGCGGTCACAAACACATGCATAGGCAAATCAATTGTTCATCTGAAAACAAATAGGAATCACCACTGGACGTCTTTCTTTGGAACTACGTTACAAAGAGTGGGTGGGTATTTCTGAAACATGATGACTGGGTAAACCATAAAATAGGTCTCATCCATTCTACCTTTGTGTGTCGAATCCGGGTCTCCGGCGTGACAAGCGGGCGCTTTAACAACGAGGCTCCCCAACGCCACTCCCACTTTTAGAACTGTATTTTATAGAAGGATTTAATATTAACTGGTTATTGTGTCTCGATGTTGCCAACAGTCAGTGGTTCACCACTCTGGAGAAAGATGTCCATGGGGTCATCAACAAAGGCCAGGAAGAACTTAAGGCTGTTATGGCGTGGTTCCGGCAAGGTCTCAGCGACGTAATCGACATGGCTGCCAATCTGGAAATGACACCAGAAGAAATAGTTAAGAAGATTGATGCTCTTGTCGGTGAGATATGTAACGTCAAACGACCCGTAAAGATCCGGGTTAGAATTGGCCTTCAGTAACCCATGCTTGACGTAATCTAATTTCAATGTACAAACCGTTTTTCATGTTAAGGTTCTAGATTATATTATAAAAAAATGTTTAACAAAAACATGACGTAAGTTCGCAGAAGACATGATTGTGTCAATGTCCGATGTTTCATTCCCATGAAGTGGTAAGTAGTCTAAAGCGACGCAGGTCACATTACAGACTTACGCCCCTTGCTCGTTCCAGGAACCTGCGATCAGATTCACTCTGACTCTCTTTCTAGGTTGTCAGCACTATAAGCATGTTTTTGAGTCTCTCGAAATAAATAAACATCTGAGATATGCGTCAGTTAGGGATTTCCTTTCACAAAAGGCCTCCACGTTTTAGCACTAAATACTTGTCACTTAGCACTAATACTCACTCGTATTACTTCAGGGGTACACAACAGCATGGTGGACTCGTTCCTCACCACAGTGATATCTGGAATCGAGAGCGTCATCAGGTCGGCTCTCAAGCTTCACAAGAGAAATGGCTTCACTGACTTCTTCTCCCATGTCGGCAGCTCCATTGCATCGGCCTTCTCCCCCATGGTTGACGGTGTGAAACAGGTAGGAATTACGTTTCAAACATTACCTCGTCCTATATTTCATTTATGTTGTCTGCACAAGTGATTTGGGCGAGTTGTAACAATGAATCCTATTTCTGTATCCCCTTTTCAATACTATATGGTTTAAATTACTGTAATTTGTGAAGAACGCAACGCATGATCATAAGTTCAGTATTTCGAACTTCTTTCCTTCTAATATTGACATTTGATATTGTTACAAAGCTGTGAGAACACGTTCGAAAAAAATGTTTAATATTACCACATTGGTGTGCTTGTCAGATATAGATATCAGCTTTTAGATATAGTTTAAGAAAGATATAAAGTATAACACCATCATGTTAAATCGTGGTTTCAAATGAATGAATTGGTATTTCAATGTGGAATAAACATGTCAGCCTCATCAAAATATCGATATCATTGTCTAGGAATACTTGTACTTCAGGGAAACTTTGATAAATCTTCTTCTGGAAATATATCAAGTTATAGGTAATTCGATGCTCCATGTGCCGAGATTTAATGGTAGTTTAGATACTATGAGAGGCGTTCGGGTTAGAGTCGTTTAAAACGCAATAAAACAACATCAGTTACTTACTTGGATGTTTGAATATTGCGAAAATAGCTTCTTGACGACAAAGTCCCACTATAGATGTAAATGTTGACAAACTGTTGTAGATTAGTAAAACATCTAGTTGCGTGACCCACTCACTCACTCATGCAAATGTTTTCAAGATGGCGGCTTCAGCTGGAAATGCCATCAAAACAAGTGCACTAGGTTTCTCCGCGGCAGCCAAGGACTCCATGAACCAGCTGGGCGAGAAGCTCAAGGAACACCTGCACACACTCGGCCAGCACGCGGGCAAGCTCGTGGAGCACGGAAAGAATGCACTGAGTGCCATGAAGGACGCAGCTGGTGATATCATGAGTATGGTCGAAAGATGAAATCAGTTAAATAGATTTAAATATATTTTAACCATCTTTATCATTCACAGAACAAAATACATTGGCAAAAATTCGTTCCTGTTGTCCCTAATAAAAGACAGGCTAGAAGTACTTAGAAACCATTTGTGTGAGGTTGCCCTTACCCCGAGTAGTATAGACATTTGGGAGTCTGGACCACTATGCATCTCGTATAGGTAAGGAAATATATTCATAATTGATTTATTTTGTGGGTTTAGTTAATATGTTGACTATCATATCTCTCTGATTAAACCAGTCGGTTTCAGATTCTTTCAATAATTCATGTGTAAAGACCTAATTATCACTTCAACGGTCTAAGGTGTATAGGTCTAATGTGTTAGCTGTGGGTATCAATGTATCATGGGTAAAATCAAGATTTATGTTCCATAACCCGTCCGCAAAATTCACGAAAGTGGATTCCATTAAAGGTTGAAAGGTATGAGGCAAACAGCACTGAGTTTCTCGAACTAAATCACGTAATATGCCTGCAAAGTGTTGTTAACCATGAAGGGCTGCTATAGCAGAATTGATTCCAAGTAGACTGTGACCCTAAAATTTGACTGAAATGACTGGCTTGTCAGTCTCTTCCCCGATGTCAAGGATCGTTATTGTTGCTTTCAGTCGGTCTAATGGCCACAACGATCCTTGGAAATATATGATGATGATGATGATCCTTGGAAATATATGATGATGATGATGATGATGAGGGAGATGTTTTTACGCTTCATTTGGGACCTACTTGGGCAAACACATAAAGTTGTGATGATGAGTATTATTAACTTATTATACAAATCATAAATCAGATATACTTTTAATTGTTTGGACACAGGGTATCAATTGTAGTGATACAGGTGATACAGTGATACAGCCATTGTCTTTCTCTCTTTCAGAGCAGACACTCAGCAACATGAAAGATCCCCTGACAGGGATTAAACAGACCTTGACCAGCGCTGGGGGCACTATTGTCCAGCAGGTGGTTAACGCCATGAGTGGAGGAGACCACGCCCTAGGCGATAAGGACACCGTCCCTACTAATCAGTAGATGCAGTTGTCCTCTGTTTCATCACTTGCATGATCACCAGCTTCATCCTTTCCTAATAAAACTACAATGGTCACGATCGTTTTGTTTTTTCTAACATGGAATCACCTTGGAGCCTCAATGCATTTTGCAGAGGTACTTTGGCAGAACCCTGTGTTCGTGAGTTCGAATTCCATTTTTATTCATAATTTCGGACCATTCTTGGAAGAAAATGTCCTGAAGACGTTGCTTAAAAACATATAAAAAATTACATTCATTTCCAACCTTTTGTGAAATCCACACATGAGAAAATCCAGTAGAAAAAAGTAACTGTCTAACCTCTGATACCCAATTAAGCTTGCCAATATCATTTTGTAGCTTTAGGAAAATATAACTTTTGCCTAGGGTACCTATAAGAATCCATTTTAAATAATTTTAGCCCTTACCCCGGCTATGCGTAATCATCACCTTTTCTTAAAACTGATTCAAAACATAGTTTTGTTACCACACTCTGCAAGCAATATGACATGAGTCTGTGAATAGTCCTAACTGGACAATCCAGTGATTTACACTATGAGTGTCGATCCTCTCAATTATGACGCAATGACATATCAGCGAGTGAGTGAGTGAGTTTAGTTTTACGCCGCACTCAGAGCAATATTCTAGCTATATGGCGGAGGTTTTACATAATCAAGTCTGTACCAGACAATCCAGTGATCAACAGCATGAGCATCGATCTACGCAAGTGGGACACGATGACATGTGTCAACCAAGTCCACGATCCTGACCACACGATCCAGTTAGTCGCCTCTTATGACCAGCATGGGTTGCTGAAGATCTGTTCTAACCCGGATCTTCACGAGCACAATGACATGTATTCGACCACGTCACAGAGCCTGGCGATCTGATTCATTTAGTCAGTACTTGTTCGCTGTAACCTTATAGTCTTTCCGGGATTTCCCATGGTCCTATATATGTCATCACGATCTGTGGACGTGAAGCATTCTTCGTCCTTGGGGTATAATGCTGAGCAATCAGCTCTTGAAGCTTTGGCGATTCAACCTCCCTCCGACCAAAGCAGAAGGTCGGTAGTTCGATACAAGGTTGCAGCACTCCAAAAGAAGCTAAACTATGGTACTTGTTGTTTTCCTGACCTTCTCAATTCAAAGAATGTCCGTTAATGTCTATATAATTCCAGAGGGGATATATATCTTGAAGCATGCTCAAAGCATCTGATCTCTAATATTAAACCCTACATTAAACTGAATTTCCTTGCATCTGTGTTGATTCGACATTACAAAGGTTTCGTTAAATGCACGCAAATAAGGCAAACACAAATTTATAAAAACCCACCTTTATGTGGTACCATGTGTTTATATGCGCGCGTGTATATTTAGAACTCATTTGAGTGACTGGTATGTGACAATTGTATAAATCATAGCACTTCACCGTTCAGTATCAGTATTAACTATTAGCATGAGTGGACATCTGTGTGTCTCGGTTGGCTGGTCTAGACTAGTACACTTAGCCACACACACGGGCAGGCACGTCGATATGTGTGGCAAATAATATTGAACTCAGCGTTTAGCCCCATTTTCATTTTACTCATTAATCATTGGCTATTTAGAATTATTATTTTTCGATACCACAAAAGTCTCATTTACAGCAAACAGATACGATAAACGCAAAATTATCAAAGCCATTTCTATAGCAACATACATTTGCACTTGTGTGTAATTTGGGGATGACAGAGTTCGTGTGTGAGTCTGTGATTTGGTGAGTATGTGTATTAGTGTGCGAGTGAGAGGGTGCAGAGAGAGACAGAAATGTACTTATAATGATCCGAGATAGTAGTGCACAACATACATACATAAAGTGTGTGTCAAATGGGCTCCCTTTCCCGTTTCAGCAACACAAAAGCTGCTGAATTTACAACAGTGTGACAGTAAATCCTCTCACCAACACATTATATGTAACAACCATGTTTACATCCCATCTGTAGCTCTGTGTATCAGTTAACCCAGTAAAATAAGGTTTTGACATCAACCATAAGCTTCACATCTGTTCTGTTACAAGTATTCCTATTATAAACTTCTAAATGGAAATGGAAATGGAAACATCCTTGAATTTAAAGACCATCACTATTCATTCCATATTCCATAAAACCTGTACGAACAAATATGAAATGAACACAACAGTAACAAGATCAGAACACAAACATGACACAATGCAATCACGAAGCAATCACGATTGGTATACGAATTATGCACGATGTTACACAATATTATGACTAATCAGAATTCTTAACTCCAAACGTACTCCCCTTCACGTCCGTGCTATGGGTATATGCTATGACCAAAAATTATTGAGAATTTTAGAAATATGTTTCATTGGATTTCTGGTATAAACAACCTTGTCCAGCTATCAAGTGCTTGGTTTCATTCAAGAGAGACAACTCCGTTAATCCCTTTTCATAAGTTGCTTTACTTGTTAGCAGACGACATTTTCAGTGACCCTCAGTATGGATGATTTAGAGAAGAGGAAGTTGATTTTAGAGGATTATAACAAGGACATCAGATCAGCTAAAGTGATTTCAAGTAGAACAGGCATCCCTTTGTCCACTGTTTATCGTGTTTTGAAAAATATTGCAAATGGATATGGCATTGAGCACCAGGGAGGCGCAGGTAGGCCCAGAAAATTGACTGTCGGTGACAGGAGGTGGCTTGGTATTCTTGTTTCTAAAAACAAACGAAGGAGCTTAGAAAACTTAAGGCTGAATATGATTGATAGAGGAACGATGGCTGTCTGTAAGGAGACAATTAGAACTGAGCTGCATGCAATGGGTTGGCAGAAAAGTCGAGAAAATCCATCACCGATCATGAAACCTGAACAAAAGGAGCGAGGAACTGGGACAATGTGATTTTCTCAGATGGAAATTCTGTGTGGCTGTTTCCTAATACACTGACATTCTGGACCAAACAAACTGAAAAACCTTTGTATCAGCGCCCAAAGTACAGTCCGAAATTTAACGAAATGTTTGAATTTTCCAGCAGGACAACGACACAAAACATCTTTCAAAGCATTCACAGGCCTGGTTTCGGACCCAAAACATGACATTATTTGATTGACGCAGCTATAGCCCTGACCTAAATCCAATAGAAAATGTTTGGGGACTTATGAGGAAAGTGTCAATAAGAAAAATCTGACACTTATTGCTGAAACAAAAGAAGATGTGGACACTCAGGTGGTCCGATATTGGGACAGCATGGACCACGACTTTCTAACTTCTTTGATCAGTAGTATGCCCCGCCGCATTGAAGCCTGCATTGCTGCCCATGGTGACTTGACAAAATACTAACTGTTCACCTGTCTTTGAATCTGGAGTGAATCTGTTCTGCTAATATTCACATTTAATACGTGAGTAATGAGTGAAAAAAAATTACAATCTTCAATTCTCAATAATTTCTGGTTGTACTGTATAATGCAGTCGAAATGAGGGAAAAGGCCTCAGTGTACAGCAGGTTTCCAAGATGACAACCAGGAGAGGACGATTGGGACTGGAGCTGGAAGTGATTCAAGTGGATTTGGAGATGATGGATGTGGAGGAGAAGATGAGGGAGAGGAGGAGGATGTTGGGGGAAAGGCCACCAAAGAAGAAACGAAAAAGAGGAGTAAGGGCAATGTGGACATGCGATTGGTTGCTCCTCTGTATGGACAGTATGAGATTCTGCTAGTGAAGCTGATCAATGAAGAACTTCCTCAGGTTGGACAATGCTCTCTTCCAAGAGTTGGTCACTCGAATCGGCCCTTACATCAAAAAGACCTAGCAGGAAAGCACTCGACCCAGGCTTGAAGATTGCTGTTACTCTTCTCTGAGGGGAACAGTTACTTGGACCTGCAATGCTCCTTCAGAGTCGGCAAGAACACCATTGGACTCTTCGTGCCACAAGTCTGCGAGACCGTCATAGAAGTATACTCATCAGAAGTCATGTCTCCATGCATTACTCCTGAACAGTAGAAAGTAATTGCTGATGGCTTCCTGGGCAATCTGAACATGCCCCACGCCTGCAGAGTTCTGGATGGGAAATACGTACGCATCAGGTGCCCGAGGAACTCTGGGTAGTTGGCTAGAGTCCCGATCAAAAGTTGATTTCTAACGTAGTTTGGTCTGAAATTAGTCACCAATATTGGTATGTGCTGGAGAGGTCGGGTATGAGCGGCAGTTGGTCGTTATCAATCGGCAGCATCTTTTAGATCGGAGGCCAAGTTCAAAAACATTTCCCGACCTTCCCGACCTGACAAAAGTCGTAGTAACACCGTAACGTAATTGTAAGTTGATCGCAATTTGTCGTGAATTGATCGAATTAGATCGGCATTGATCGTGTACAGCGGGAACGCATCGTGAAAACAGCGGGAATAGACCTTCAACTCATGATCGCAGAAGTTTTATACCCACTCCATTCACAACTTATCCACTCTACTCGCGCGGACATCCGACCTACTCCAAACATATTGTCGTCCTAACACCATTTTAAGGACGCTTTGACACCCCTAATAAGTATTACCAAAGACGTGATTACACTGTTGCCACGCTCCACTGCCAGTGTGCTCCAGACCAATAAGATCGACTACAATTCACTGCCATTCTACTCCCGCTCTACCTCCACTCTGTGTCGATCTAGTCAGGACTATCCCTTTCCTATAAGCCCCAATCTCTACCAATCATTCCGACCTGTGAAAGTCATCATACACACGATGCCAAGAGGAAAGAACCACCAAGCAAATCCAACTCCCCTCACCTGCTAGCAGCCATTGCCTAACACAGCTAGATGATCACATCGGCCGTTGAGGAACAGCCAAAGGCCACGAAATTAAGGCTTAACCGATTGAATCCTGAGGAGGAGGCGGAAATGGTCCAGTTCTCCTCTTACTCTTGCCTCTACAATAAGAAGTTGAGGGACTGGACCAACAAAGGCATGAAAGAGAAGTTGCGGCAGGACCAGGCAGAAAGGATGGGGAAGACGGTCCACGATATCAAAATCTGGTACAATAGTATTCACATCAGGCTGGGGTGGCTGAGAAGGATCAAGTCTTGCTAGATGGACATAGAATTGTCACTGCCACTGGATCTTCGATACTTTTAAGCTTCTTTGGCCCCTTATGGTCAAACGCTGTGTCTTCTAAGTCAAAGGTTGCTGCTGCTGCTTGCTCTGGTCCTGCCCCACCAAATCCATCACAAGATCCAGGAAGACGTTCCCCTGCTGCCATCTCAGGATACACCTGTCACTGAGTTTTTTCCAGAGAGATCCCTGACAACCACTCCAATGTCCACGCCATCCACAATCACACACAGATAAGAAGATCTGATGCATCTGACATAGCCACTGATATCCAAGACAGGGACCTCCGGATATCACAGCATATCATCCAGCAGGTCCTTCCGGACGTAGCTGATACAGAGAGTGCCATCTGTTCCACATGGGTTACAAGTTGCATCCATCAGCTGCCTCAGGACCTGTTCAGGAAGGCAGAATTGGGAGATTTGGAACATCATCAACCGAGTCAATAAGGAGAACGACAGGAGACAGAGTCAATTGCCCCAGACGTCACAGCCTCGGACGCTTTCTGAGCCACAGCTACAGCAGCCTCCGATATCATTGTGGCGTATCCACGGGTATCATGATACTCGCAATGGGTCAACCAGCCGTTCCAGGGGCCTGGGCAGGAACGGATGCAGCAATCAACACCCGTAACATCCCCCGTTGAACCATATCCATCAGTCAGCTGCCCCACATGAGTAATAAGTATGAACCCCAAGAGTGAATACAGCTTAGACAGGGTACCTCATATGCATGATATTGTGTAAACAAACTGCCGCCTCCTCCCTACCGTTGGTAGTTGTTAGTTCGCAGTGCCTGCCAATGGTTTGCAAGGATGCCAAAGGCATTTTCCACAACTCTTCTGGCCCTGGACAATCTGTAGTTGGTGATGACCTCTGCTTCATTCATTCCTGTGTTAGAATAAGGCTTCATAAGGTATGTTCGGAGGGCAAATTCATCATCAGCTACTGTGAAATAGGGCATGTCGACGTCACCATAGGGCATAGGATCCTCATACCTCAATTCTGCCCTGAGTCTGTCATATGTAGCCAAACTGTAGTCTTCTTTCTGTATAAAGCCATCGACGTTCCCCAAAGTCCTTTCTTCTCCTCCTTTTCCTTTTGCGATGCGTAGTAACGTATTTCTGTGTTGGAGTAGTCGGGTTTTTAACTCGATTTTAGGTGATTTTTGCAGCTTTTTACGGGAATACGTCGTAGATTGATCTTACTGAATCGTATACAGCGCAGTAACATGAATCGGATCGTATTAGTTCGATATCAATCGTTGGAATATCGACAAGGAACGGGAATATATTGGCAATGATATAAGTGTATCATATATCTAACGTGAGATATCGCGAAAGACCGGCTTTTAGATCGGTCGAAATTCGTAACTACACTGTACCTTGGTCGTATGTACGTGGATTTTATGTACATCATCAGTTACTCGTCATGTACACGTACATTCAGCGTAGGTGGCCAAAATTGGCCCGACCATGGCGAGTTGGTCGAGAGGAGGAAATCGGGTTGGAACGGGGTGGATTGGCATGGTCGGATAAAAACCGGCTATAGTGAAATGGGGGTATAAAATTATCGATTGCGATTGCAACACGAGAAATTGCTTAAAAGTGTTGTGCTCGTGATGGAATCGTGTCGAGAAGATGAGGCACGATCAACACAATCATAACAGGAACACTAATCGAATTCCTATACAATGACTACACGATCGACACGACCTCATCACGATTTATAAATAAAATAAAACAGGTTTTAATTTGAATAATCGTGATGGGCTAAGATCATGATCAACACAATCACTGTAGGATCACAACACAATCACAACACGATGCCTGCACGATGCCCAAATTATATACTAGGCACATAAAGAAACTGTGCATACAAAATTTAAAATCTAAATTAATCAAACCTGTGTAGACACATAAGGATTTAAACTCAGAGATTAGTGACATGTATCCAACATGCATGCACGTGCCACGTTCCGTGACGTCAGTGGGTTCGTCCTTGAGACGTGCAATACGTTGTTGTACGTGCATTCCGGGAAAGAGAAACAGAGCAAATGAATGCCACACAATACTGTCCCTTTGGAAAGCTCAACCCCTGCCCTTGCGATCTTTCAAAAATTAAACGGCTATTGAAACGCATAGCATGCCAAGGCTCACGTCTGCACAACGTCATGAGGCCATTGGGATGGTCCGTGGGGGGAATGTCTCAACGACAAGTGGTTGCACATTTCCACTGCCACCGGAACACCATTTCTGCACTGGTGAGACGCTACCAGAACACAAATGACGTCATCGATCGGCCACGTTCTGGACGTCCACGTGTAACAACGCCAAGACAGGACAGATGGATAAGGGTGACCTATCTTCGCCACAGGTTTCAGACTGCATTGATGACTGCCCGAACCATCCCAGGACTTCGCCGTAGCCACCCCAACACAGTTCGACAACGTTTACGTCATCACGGGATCAGACCACGACGTCCCGCCATACGGCCTATCCTGACACAATGTCATCGACAAGCTCGCCGAATGTGGTGCCGAAATCATGTCCGCAGACCCTTGTTTTGGTGGAGAAATGTTGTTTTTTACAGATGAGTCCAGGTTTAAAATTTCCCATAGTGATGGACGTCAACGTGCCTATAGACGCGTGGGAAAACGTTATGCACAGGCCTGTGTCTTGGATAGGAATCGCTTTAGTGGTGGTTCCGTGATGATTTGGGGAGGAATAACAGCACGCCAAAGAACTCCTTTGGTGATTGTTCAGGGCAACTTAACTGGTGTGGACTACAGGGATCAGATTCTTCGACCTGTGGCAATTCCTTTTCTGCAATGTCATGGCCCTGGGTTAACATTCCAACAGGACAATGCCCGCCCTCATACGGCAAGGGTTGCTATGGATTTCTTGCAACACCACAACGTTGACTTGCTGCCTTGGACTGCAAATTCACCGGATCTCTCCCCGATAGAGCATGTTTGGGACGAGATGGATCGACGTCTACGCCGTCTTCCTCATCCACCAGATAACGTCCTTGACCTTGCAACAGAACTTGAGAGAATATGGCGTGACATCCCACAAGCCTTCCTTACACGTTTGATAGGCTCTATGCGTCGTCGATGCACTGCTGTTCTCAATGCCGATGGTGGACATACCCGTTATTGAGCTTGTGCCATGGCCGTTTGATCCCTGTCCCGCTTGTGGACTCGTGAGGGGCGGTGGGGTAGCCTAATGGTTAAAGCGTTGGCTCGTCACGCAGAAGACCCGGGTTCGATTCCCCACACGGGTACAATGTGTGAAGCCCATTTCTGGTGTCCCCCGCCGTGATGTTGCTTGAATATTGCTAAAAGCTGTGTAAAACCAAACTCAGTCAGTCAGTCAGTTGTGGACTCGTGACGTCATTGTGATTGACTTTTAAATTGAAATTATCCCGACTTGTTATGGTCTCATGATCCCTCCATTAAAGTTTATATGTACCTTTGACATTGTTATCGTACTTATCAACTGGGATAATATTTTGACAATGCACAGTTTCTTTATGTGGCTAGTATACATTCGTACAGAGATCATGCTTTAGTGCAAATTGGGCTTAAATAAACAAGTCAATATACATACTGTATGTTTACCGTGTGCGTGCAAACATATACCAAAAATAATTTGCCACTTAAATATTTTGCCACTTAAATATTTCGTATTTCAGTTTACACTTGTAAAGATTACTGCGCTGTCATGTGGTTCCATGCGAACTAACATATGAACTAAAACGTTTTTCATGACAGTATATGACAATGCAATCTGGTTGTCAGCATGTGTCAATAAAACAGTGCAGATAAGTCCATATGACACTTTGGAACAGATCCTCATAAAAATCCACTGATAAAATCACGTGATTTCAAACTTTAAAAGGCACATTGACCCATCCTTATTCCAGTTCTGATTCTCACAGGACCATCAGGTAGGTCGAGATTCCGACTGTCATCGCTTTTATAAACAACCCCTTTAACCATTAGGCTATCACTGTCGGGTGACTATTTATCTTAAGATGGGCTTGAAAAGGAGCTGTTTTGAAATTTTAGAAAAACAACTGAAAATAACAAGTTTGTTCTCCAGGTTGCTGAATGTTTTGACAAACGTTATGGTTTTGTTCCTTCAATAATTAAACTGTCTTGATTCTCTTTTTGGTATGATGTTAGCTGTTGGCAATCGGCAGTTGCAATGTATACCGTTACATGGTCAAGATTGCTTTGCGTGACACAGATGAAACAACTTACATAGGTCTTATATAACATGAACTTATTTCAGCACCATGAAGCTCCTGTTCATTTTGTCCGCTGTTTTTCTAACCACGGCCCAGGCCAACTTCTTCACCGATCTCGGTCAAGGTTTCACCAACCTCTTCAAGGCCCTTGGACAGAGCATCTTGCACCAGCTGGACACTACTGGAGTTCAACTTCTGAACGCTAGTGTCGCAGCAGGGAAGACCCTTATATCGCAAGGAATTCAAGGTATGTAACCGTGAGAGTATGTTTTCACCTGGTTTTAACAAAAAAAATCCGTGATCACAGCGGGGGACAACTGAACTTCAGTGGGGACACCTGAACCTGTCTTCATACATGTTACTCATTTTGGGGGTTGAACCCGTGCCTTTGGCTTGACGAACGAATGCAATAACTAAAGACTGTAGCAATGTTAATGGGTGGGCTCAGCTTGACGAAACTATGGAAAGTCCAAAATGATGTTTGCAACGTTTAAACTTTGACTAAATCCATGGTACTGGAAAGCCAAGGAACGCTCTTAAAGACAATGTCGACAGGTTTCAGACAAGCCAAAGGGTTGCAGTCCCTGTACAGTGCACCAGAGACGAGTGTCCAGTATGTAATATAATAATTTCTATGTAGCCCCATTATTCATGTTGACGAAGACATTCCTGTCTGTGTGCTATGTGTCCAGCACCACTTAATAACATGGAGGTTGCCACATCCAACGTGGCTGACCAATGCCTAGGGTGACTTCTAATTAGCAGGGTATGTGTAATGAAATCATCATTACTCCTGAATTGAACTCAATGTGGCTAAATTTGTATTACCTTTGCGCTGATAAAGCATGAAGTACCATTCCTGGATTTAAACTGATTCTGGAAAGATCTCATTCTTTTGGGATTCTAGGAGACATTGAATGCTACTCTATATGATCGTGATCACACGAATTTTCTGCAATATGTTAGTGAGACATTAGTGTGTAACATTGCTTTGAAGATTATATATACGACCAGCTTGTTTGTTTGTTTGGTGTTTAGAGCTGCACTTATTAATATTCCCCCAATGTGACGCTGGTCTGTAACTAATCAAGTCTGTTCCAGACAATCCTGTGATTAACATCATGAGCATCATAAAGTCACGTCGGCATTATGTCGGCCATATTGTGACTCGAACATGTTCTATTGTTGCTATAGCTTAACAACTGCTATATAACTACAGTGTAATAAGTAGTACAGATGTTACTCATTTGCACAGTACAAATGCAAAAGAAGCTGTTATCCATAAATGCCACTTATTTAAACTGTTGGTTAGTTTTCAGATTGACAGTTGGGAATGTGTTTCAACTTAAAGCTCTGTAACTATATTTGAAGGCCAATATGCATTATACCAGACCATGCTTCTTATTTCTATGATTATCTAACACATGTTTCAGCCCTTGCTCTGAATACTGCAAATGCTCTTGCAAAATCATCCCGAGACATACAGTAAGTAAAGACACCGATTCATGTTGTAAACCCATTGTGACTTTGAGGTACTGGCTCTTGTATAACAGTTGGTGCAGTGGGAAGTGACATTTACCTCCTCATCCAGTTCCCATTGTTTCCAACAGGCTCCCCGCCATGCTCAAGAACGTGGAGTCCCCCCTCCACAACGTTGTGGACACTCTGATGGGTGAGATGAAGAACGTGTTCGGTTTCCTGGTCAAGGGTCTGCAGGGCGTCGTGGACAAGATGACCAAGCTGGAGATCACCCATGAGGAGGTCATCAAGGAGGTCGACAAGTTTGTCAGTGAGTTGATTACTGTGTCATCAAACAGAACAATGTGAAATCTGTATGACACAGCTTCAGATGTTGTTTGTCAAAGTTGATTTTTTTCTGTTTTTATGAAAATAACATATTATATAATATGTGAATGTATATAATTTAGTTAGCAAATTGAATATCATTACCGGCATGTTTGGGTTATTTCTTTTTCATAACAAATGCAAAACCCATAAAAAATATTGTCAACAAAATCCACCGACACATGGAGTTGGATAAAGAAACAGAAAAACTTCAGAAAACAACAAAAACGAACAAGTAAAGCTAAACAATCTACAGTTAATCTACATGTACTATTAGACTTATTGAAAGAATCAATTGTGACTGTATCATAAACGCGGGATTTTACCAGGTTTCCACAACAGGGGGGTGATATTCTCATCCTTGTTCTATTGCTGTTCACCTGAATAGAAATGAGAGCATGTCAAAATAATGAATTGATTCAGACGTAATTTTGTTCACAAATTCGTCAAATATTGAAACGCTTCATCCTCGTGTTTTGACACATGTGAACATTGAATGGGCATTGATCTCCTGGGCACAAATAAATAATAAGACAACTTTAATTATTGCGTCTCCAGACACCCACAACCTTATTGCTGATTCCTTCCTGAAGACGACCAAGGACAAGGTCGAGGAGGTCATCTTCAGCCTCATCAAGAGCAAGAGGAATAACTTTACAGATTTCTTCGCAGGCACTGGGGAAAGTCTGACTAAAACCTTCAAGCCAATGGTTGATGGTGTCAAGACTGTACGTGTCGTGTCAATGATTTTCTAATACCTGAAAACCTTCCACGGCTTGTTTTTATGAGGCAGTGTTATACTTTGTGCAACAGTTGTTATTCGTTGTACCTGTATATTCATGTGTGTTATAAAGTAGACTTCACCAGATTAAAACCTAAACATCTTGTTATACAAAATTCAAATTAACATTATTCCGATGGGTTTATGGAGAATCTTGTAGACTTTTTTTCTTGGGTACAAAGGGAAGCACATTACATCCCGAACCACTAAACTCGATTATAAGTAGTTTTTTGTTTTTAAAAACTTCTTGCAATATATATTGCAATATATGCTTTCGCATGACAATATATTGCAATATGAAAATTCTCTGCAATACCCACCCCTAATGGTTTCACACCTCATTATTTCACGGACTGATTCCGGGCGAACCTTTTCGTGTCGTCATCTTGGCCTCCACACGTAACTCGTCAGAAACTCATCGTTCAGTTCAGTTACAGTTGTGTGACTTTATCTGGGAATTCCAGATATTTTTTGTTTGTTCAAATGATATAACTGATTATGAATGACTGAACCACCGATGACCAATAAACGGCCTTTCGTGCATTTGTTCTTTTCCCACAGCTGGCTACCGCAGCTGGAGCGATCCATCAAGAGCGGATCTACCATCCTCCTCCTGAAGGCCAAGGACTCCGTCACCCAGCTGGGGCAGACGTTCCGGCGCACCGTTCAGTGCCCAGCCGGATGCAACTATGTCATATGTTGTTCCCTGTTACCCCCAACGTATGTACTCCATCCAAACTGTATGTCACACAGAGTGTATCTAAGATGTTGTGAACATATGTGGGTAACAGATGTGAGTGTAACCTTTACATGGAAGGAAGACGTTGTGTGGAAGAGATGTGGCAGAGCATGTGTTCATATTGCATGTGTTCTTGCCTAATACAGAATGTGTGAGGATTGTGTTGACCTCCATGCCCTTGCGTGAGAGGGATGTGTTGACATTACAGCCTGTGTGCCACGGCCTTGTATACTTGACAGCTCAGGCTTAAAACAGGTCGTGTGACCTTATTTCTATAAACCTTTGAAACCCCTGTGTGTGAAGGGGATATCAATTTTACATACATACATACATACATACTAACATTTGAATAGCGTCGATATCCAGCTCAGCTCTGCTGCTCAAAGGCGCTTAGTTTTTCCCTCGTTCACTGGATGTCAATCTCAACGGCACATCGTATTGTCAATCTCAACTCCCTGGGGAGTATACAACTCTTGCAGCCATTAGGCGCACCGAGTTACTGTGGCATTCCTATCCTTACGAGGTACCCATTCACAGCTGGGTGGACTGGGACACATAGTCACAGTACTTTGTCCAAGTTTTACTGCACGTTGCTGTACCCGCAACTAGGTGTTTGCACGTATTCACGTGGCCACCATCTGACCATATACCAACGGATTCGTGGGTTCTTTTAAGTGCACTGGGCTGTGCACTGTACACTAGGGGTTGTGACAACACTGAAAGAGTCTGTACACAAAGTTGACTCCAAGGTTTTTACACCCGGTCACAGGTGTGCTCGATCCCGTCACCTCGAGCTCGATGGATCACTAGCCTGGCGCCTTAGCCAGTTCGCCCACCGCCCATGCCAATGTTTACATGTGTCGTGCAATGTTTGCAATTAGTGTCTTTGACAAGAGTCCCTGTGTGTAAACGCTACGCAAATAGATTACATGGACTTTACTTCTCTTGTGTGTGTAGGGTTGGCGAGAGTTTACAGCTTGAAACGCGTGTAAGATATTTGGGAATAGTGAAACCTCTGCATGAGAGGTTCGCATGATTGGTATTAAGTTTGAAAAATCTGTGTGTGAGAGGTTGGATGAGAATGAAGACAATTGTCAAGTTCTGTTTGTAACAAATTGTGTTGGAGGTTATCTTGACTCGGCCTCGATGCTAAAGGTGATTTGGGTGAGGTGAAATGGGCTGCAGTTAAGCATGTATATCCTAATCAGACACATTATACTGACTCCGAGCCGACCAGTCCTTGTTGTACCCATTAATGCCGAGCGCCAGGCAGGGACCAACAAGTACCATATTTTAACGTCTTTTGGTATGACGCGGCCAGGGATCGAGCCCGCGACCCATTCGTAACTACTCGTGTCATTCCGGCAAGCCGGATGGAGCCTCGTACCCCTTTAGTGGCCATGTTTACGACTGGGCCCTGTCACAGCGCAAACAGGCATGGAAATGAAAATAGTCTAGTACTATTATCAAGGAAATATAACTCTGAATTTCCAAACATGGCTACTCCTAGAATATCCTATGTTCCGTGGGCAAAACAGCAATACAGTCATTCTCTTGTAAATATGTTTCAGGTAGAGTAAGTTGCTGATCCTTTAGTTCAAACTTTATGTTTAAAGTGTGCTTTGCGTAGTTCAGCAAAATTTCAAATTTCCACGGTGCCGCCGTTTTCATGCTTTGAAATGCGTTTTACTACGATTCTTGGCAATAATGGCGTATGATAGGGGTACGAGTCTTCTTGTAGATCATCGAAAGAGGCGAGTTGTTACGAATGGCCCGCGACCTTCCTCTCTCCGGGCGGACGCTATAACCACTGCAAGGGGTTGTGGTGATAGTACAGTCTACAATGTTGTTGTGGTTGCCAAGCTTGTATTTGAACGAAGCTCTGACGATTGTAAAACCTATTTGTGTAAAACATGTGTGATGACTCTTGTGTAACAGGTAACAGGTTGTGATTAATGTTTATCTTTTGTGTACAGAAGCATGTCAAGGAGGAAATGTCATGCACGGCTCTAATGCCCTGAACGCCTTGAAACAAGCTGGCGCCAACATACTTCGTACGTACTTCATCCAAACAGTATTCTACACAGAGTGTCGCCAGTGTGTTGTAAATATTCGTATAGCAGTTAAAGTAATGTGGCAGAAGTGTAGGTATTGCAATGTTTTTTGTTGCCTACCACAGCCCTGTGTATGAGGGTTGTGTCGACCTTCAAGCCCTGGTGTGCCTGGAATGTCTTGACGTATAGCCCTCTGTGTGAGGGTTGTATCGACCTTCAAGCCCTTGTGTGCCTGGAATGTATTGACGTATAGCCCTCTGTGTGAGGGTTGTGTCAACCTTTAAGCCCTTGTGTCCCTGGAATGTATTGACATTACAGCCCTGTGTGTGAGAGGTGTGTCGACCTTCAAGCCCTTGTGTGCCTGGAAGGTATTGACATTATAGCCCTGTGCGTGAAGGTTGTGTCGACCTGCAAGCCCTTGTCTGCCTGGAATGTATTGACATCACAGCCCTGTGTGTGAGGGTTGTGTCGACCTTCAAGCCCTTGTGTGGCGGATGTGTGTAAAACCCTGCGGAGGAGGAACGATAAACCCTTGTTCTTGTTGCAGAGCAAACCCTCACCAACATGAAGGAGCCCGCTAACAAGATTGCCCAGACCGTCGTAGATGCTGGACAAACCGTAGTCGGGCACGCCGCTGGGGCTCTCCTTGGCACCAACACCGATCCGGACGCCACAACCGTAGCCCCTTCCACATAGTCTGTTATCAGTTTTTGTGGAATAAATACTTAACCAAGGACTGTTGTCTCGGTTCTTGAGTGAGTGAGTGAGTGAGTGAGTGAGTGAGTGAGTGAGTGAGTGAGTGAGTGAGTGAGTGAGTGAGTGAGTGAGTGAGTGAGTGAGTGAGTGAGTGAGTGAGTGAGTGAGAATCATTCAGAAAAAATATATCAAACCTCGACTCTTTGTCTGGTTAAGTCTAGACGTCTTTTAATGGATTTGTTGAGGGACTGTTCGTTTCGATCTGGTATCCGGGGTAATAATTAATAATGATAAATCATTGAAGGATTGTCGACCTCTTTGGAGAGTGTCCTACTTTGAGAGACCCGTAGCCTAGTGGTTAAAGCGTTGGTTCGTCACGCCGAAGAGCCGGGTTCGAATCCTCACATGGGTAAAATGTGTGAAGCCTATTTCTGGTGTTCCCCGCCTTGATGTTGCTAGAATATTGCTAAAAGCGGCGTAAAACTAAACTCACTGGAAAATGTGCGGAAGGGAAATGACCATGTCAGTTGAGAGACCCATTATCTTGGTATCACACAATGCTCTGTTTAATTTAGATACAATCTCACCAAGCTTCTCTCCCCAATATCCGGGAATGTTCATATGACGAGATAGACCAAAACAGTATGAATAGAGAAAACATGTGTCAAATAATGAATAAATACCCGAATGACTGAATGTGAAAAGGGAATTCTAACATTTGTTACACATCTCGTCACAGTTTGTTTTTCTTTTAAAAGACGGTGAGGATGATCATATCCGTCAGTTCGTTATAACAGAGTTCGTTATAAACATAGTACATTGCATTTCTTTGAGGAAAATAGTATTGTCCGAGAATTTATGAAAAAATGCCATTTTACATTATGGTTGCCCAGAAAAAATAGTTCCCTGCTAAAAAAATGGCGTTCGTGAAGCAGTTACAGAAGGAAATCAAATCTTGTCAAAAACAGAAAACCTTTACTATCGATTAGTGACATGAACACAATGCCAGTGATCGATACAGATTGTTGACATTATGTTCGAGAACAGACATTTACCATCCTCTCACTGTCGGCGATGTACCCAAAACGAACGAGTTCCGCTTTGGTGCAAGAATTTTCTTAAATCGAAACTTGTTTGTTTTAATCATTTGTTTATTTTTCGTTTCGAAATTTCGTTTGTTTTTGGTAAAAACGTCGATATTTAGATAAAAAGTTTGTAATTCAGGTTATATTTGGTTTTGCTATTTCAAGCTTAAGGTTATTTACATGTTCCTCTTTTCTCTTTGCTTCGATTATTTCCGTGTTATTTATTCTCGAAATTGTGACGTTTTTGTCCCGTCGATTCTTTTTACATTAGTTGCGTTCGAGTTATTTGAATTTTCTTTCGAAAAGTACGAAATTTCGAATAACTTCGTTTATTTGCTCGAATGTCCGACTTTTGAAAATACTCTTGAAAGTATACTGAACCAAAAAGAAACGTCGTTTTCAAAACCAAATGCAAGATTTTGCTCTTGCAAACTGGTGTTTTTATTATGATATCGTTTTGTTAACATGTTTTGAATCCATATTGACAGTAAGTACCAACATCAGTGTGTTTTCTGATGTAAAAGCATATCGACCAAACGCACCTAAAAAGGCAGACTTGGTAAAAGATTCCGTATGACATTCTTGAAAATGAAACTGCGCGTGCATATCGTGACAACCCTACCAATGAAAGCTAGTCCCAAACTCGCCTGAAATCATTTTTGTTTTGACACAATCGTCATGGCACGAATTACGAGAGATCAGAGGAACCAAGTCTTGGGACGATTACAAGTTGGCCAGACTGGCAATTATTTTAATGTTCTTGTTAGAACAATCTACCGACTGCAGGAGTGGTATCGGGTCACCAACAGCATCCAAGACCGTCTTCGCAGTGGGCGACCTTCAGTAACATCACAATGTCAAGACCGACAGATTTTGGCGCCACCATCTGCAGGATCGCTTCCCCAGAGCGACGGAAAGAGCACACCAGACCATTGGGACTCACAACAGACCCATCAGTGCCGATACAGTGCGTCTGCGTTTGCGCGGAAGAAACCTCTGTTGTCACAGACCACATCGTAGTCCCGTCCTCACCTGTCATCACCCCCAAAACTGATTGCAATGGGCAACTCAGAATCGGAATTGGCGTTATCGACAATCGAGAACTGTTCTTTTTTCTCACCACAGCCCATATTGTGTTTCGACAGTCAATGGCAGAGTAAGAGTATGGTGAAGGCGTGGGGAACTGTTTTCTAGTGAGTGTATTGTTGAAAGAGACTCGTGGGGTGGTCCAAGCATCATTGTGTGGGGTGCAATCGGTCTGAACCAGATAGCTGGCACTATGGTGTTCGAGGATCTCGGACCAGGATGAGGAAATGACGTGACAGTTGCTCGCTATATTGACCAAGTCATAAAACCCCATGTTGTACCACATTTTGGACGTTACAGAAATCACATCTTCCGGCAAGACAACGCTCGTGCCCACACTGCCAGAGTATCATTGGACTTCCTAAAACAACATGGCATTCAAACTCTACAATAACCTGCACTCAGTCTTGATTTGAGTCCAATAGAACACCTTTGAGACGAGATTCAAAGGTCGACAATTGCTGCTGGACTGGATCAGGCACACACACAATACTGATTTTGGGGTATCTTAATGGTACCATTTTTGTGATTTTTTATGTGTGAACTCTAAATGTGATTCCCGAAAAATGTGTTAACCATAATTGTCAAGTTTGAACTTAATCCTCCGTTTTGATTGTTCATTAGAGTGAATTAAAGTGTGTGTTTTAACAAACCGCTATCAGTGCGAATTTTCGAGCAAATAATTTGTCGAGAAACTTTGATGTTCGAAAATAATTTATGCCACCCAAGTGGCACAATTAAGCCTTTGTAGTGGTATGGTTGTCCATTCCATACAGACCAAACCAGGATTAAGTGCAGGAATAGATTCACCTTTGTCCTTCCAGCGATTATATCACCTTGGTCACGGCAAGGGCATGTATTAACACCAGCTTTATCTCCAGCTCTGAGAATCAGGTTTACAGCCTCGCCATAACATCAATACAAGCGTGAAACAAGGTTCAGTAATAAAAATGTTACTGCCCTATATCCAGAGCGTTACATGGAAGAATGATGAAAATACTTTATGTCACTTAAAAGCACAAAGCAAAACAAAAAAGTTTTCGAACAGCACCGAAGCAGCTTTCAAACAGGCAGGTTTTGTGGTTAGCTCCAAAGTTTTCAAAACAGACAGGGATACAGGCGTAGAAAGCGGGCACTGCCCGAAGATACAGGAACAATTGTTAGGGAAAAATAAGTAGCTAAGTGTTGGATCATTAAGTTGTTGCAACATTCATCAAAATGTCAGGTGTATCACGAAGGTCTGCACTTTTAGCCGGTGTTTAACGTTAGGTACTTCTTAAAACAACCGTTTGTCTAACTGTGTTGTGTAACCCTGAACGTTATGCTTGTTCTGATAGAGTGTCAGTGGCATGTTTAGTACTTAACGTTTCCACGTCGCTGACAATGTACACTAGTGTTGGGAATTGGTGTAAATCTCATAATTGATGATTGGTTCATTACAACCGATCAATCATCGAAAATAATTGGTTAGCGTCATTTATCAATTTTTCCTGGTTATGTTCGTTAATGCACAAAAAATCAAGAAAACACATGTAGTTCTCTCGTTTTTTTCGCAAATTGCACAAAATGCATTTGCAAATTTCACATCTTTAAAGGATGACTAGTGTGTTAGGAACATACATTTCCTGGAGTTGTTAAGATAAACTGAATCATGACTTGGAACGAGCTTGTAGTGCTTATGCAATGTCGAGACAAAGTCAACCTTTTGAAAAATATTGTTATTGCAAACAAGTGGTCCACAACTGTTTGTGCTCGATTATGAGAAAACATGATCGATTGCTTGGTCGTTTTGTCATTGCGACCAATCTTCGATTATTTCAATTAACCGGACCACCACCAATGTACACTAACGCTTAGTCTCTAAAATATACATTTCTGAGAGAAACAAACACTCGAAGTAATATGAAAAGGAGCCCCATTTAGGCGGGAGATTCAGAGCCGGCGAAAATCTAGACTTTCTTTATTAAGGGGGGGCGGTGGGGTAGCCTAATGGTTAAAGCGTTGGCTCGTCACGCCGAAGACCCGGGTTCGAATCCCCACATGGGTAAATTGTGTGAAGCCCATTTCTGGTGTCCCCCGCCGTGATGTTGCTAGAATATTGCTAAAAGCGGCGTAAAACCAAACTCAGTCAGTCAGTCAGTCATTAAGGGCTTTACAAAAAGGGCTGAGTGGTGGGGAATAAATATGCATTAGGAACTGTGAGACAGGCTATTGACCGTGCAGTGGTTCCTGTAGGAGGGGTGGGGGAGGGGTGTTCGTGTGTCTTATCAATAACTTGAATTCGAACAGTGGCTTATCACAGCTGGTTTGTTCTCAAAACATTGCATAAGTCAGGTGTATATCATAACCCTGCTCTTGCCGACTTCTTTCTTTGTTATTCTGAGTATTTCCCGCAGTGTCTGCCGAACTCCAGGAGTCCTGAACTCAATAACAGGTAGGTTCTATTCCCAAAGTGGCTTCAATGACTCGGTTTTTTTCCCAAACTGGCTTTGGAGGTTCGTCTCACTTTACAGTCGAGAATTAAATCGTTTTTTCAACAGACCATTCTAATAATAATTTCTATCTAAATTGAAATGTTTCATATATACAGATATTTTGCCGGGCAGAAGAAATTTTAGATATTTCATGGAATTAGTTTTATTGGAAGAAAAAAAGTTGATGCAGTTGATTGCCCTTTGAACTTAAAGCTTGCAACGCTTCAGAAACTAATTCAATCCAAGTAGCATTTTGACAGTTTGTAATTTTTCGATCAACTTCGAATTTAATGTTTGCATTCCTTTTCTCCTGCAGGTTAGTTAGTTTAGTGTACCCTCGAGTGTTGATTTCATTGACATTTAGGTAATTTTACTTGTGGTTTAAGATAAATG